TTTAGCTAACATACGTGTAAATTTTACCTTATTCCTAGTAATGACCCTCGTATTGTAGATAGTCTTAACGACCCTCATATTGTAGATAGTCTTAATGACCCTCGTGTAGTAGATAGTCTTTTTAGTATGACAATAAGATGTTATCTTTATTATAGAATAATAAGAAAATATTATAACCTTTATACAGTGGACCCCCGCATAACGATCACCTCGGAATGCGACCAATTATGTAAGTGTATTTATGTAAGTGCGTTTGTACGTGTATGTTTGGGGGTCTGAAATGGACTAATCTACTTCACAATATTCCTTATGCGAACAAATTCGGTCAGTACTGGCACCTGAACATACTTCTGGAGTGAAAAAATATCGTTAACCGGGTGTAACTCATTACAGTTGTGACCGGGTGTGGAAGTGTGAATTGCTCATTACTCTATAATTTGTTCATGATTGTAGCCAAAGTATAAACGTAAGTAACCATTCTACAGAATTCATTACCTTTGTAACTTGTGAGCTCATTACCTTTGTACCTAGTTCAGCTATCAAAACTTTGGGGGCCCAGTCCCTGGACCCATTACGTACCTCTGTAATCTGTAAATACCTTTGTAACTTGTCATGATTGTGACCAGACTTACCTGGAGTTCATTACCTTTGTAAATTGTGAGTTCATTACCTTTGTAAATTGTGAGTTCATTACCTTTGTAAATTGTGAGTTCATTACCTCTGTAACTTGCTCAGCTATCAAAACTTTGGAGTCCAGTCCCTGGACCAATTATGTACCTCTGTAATCTTTTGACTACCGCCCACAGGATGGGTATGGGGTGCATAATAAACATATTAAACTAAAACTAACCGGGTGTCAACTGTATTATAATAATAAGGTAAAATGACCCCAATGGAAATAAGTCACTCTGTCTGACTTTTTTGGGTTATCCTAGGTTCTCTACACATATGCTGCTATGTATGATAATTCTATGTAACTGTATTTGTGTATACCTGAATAAACTTACTTACTTACTTACCTAACAGCAATATGGGAGGGGGTAGAGATATCAAGAGTGCAATATCGAAGATACAGAATGCACGGGAAGGGGAGATATAGAAAGCAAACTGTATACCATCTGTGCAAATAAATATGGGCTGCAGTATAATGCAGCAGAGAATGAACAAAGACCTGTTGATATGGTATACCAATGCACACAAGAAGTGTGCTCTCATGATTCACCAGGAAAGGGATCAGAAGAATGCAACAGCACATGGCCTGAAACAGGACAAATAACAGCTGAATGAATTTTGGGCACTTGTAACCCAACACATACTGGAGAAACTGGGAGAGCAACACCTAGAGCTCTCCATGATTACCCCTGAGGCCACGAATATTCCATTGTAAATAAGACATTATTTACAAAGACAGGTATACCAACAATAAGAAGTGATAAAATCTATGGGCAATTAGGGTCAGTGAAGTCAATGTTTGGAGGCAATGGTAAGCATGTAAGCAAAGAGAAATCAGAATGTTGCGAATGAAAAGATTGCTGCAAGGGTCGTGAAAAATAAGAAGGGGTAGGAGTAGCATCGGTGTCCATCGAGGGTTTCGTCTCTGCAATATGTGGAGATAGCATCAAGTGTCTCAGCAGATAAGGAAGATGCCAGTACCATGATTTCAGAGACAGGTGAGGTAGAGCAAGTAGAAATCGGGTTCGACTAAGGAAAGAACCAAAGAGGCCTGAGAAGGGAAGGGAGTATGAACCTGTAGAGATGCACTGGCAGGGGCAGAAGAATCCTGCAGTGGAACAGGAGAGGAAGGAGGTTGAAAGGTAACTGGGGAAGAAGACTGAGGGGAGAAACAGGAGAAGAGAGGACTACATGAAGGGGGTGAACCTCCTCCTTCGTGTGAGAGTTAGAAAGGGGGTGAGAACCAGGCACCGAGGCTGAAAAGGAAAACTGTTGGGGAATTGTAAGCACTAGAGGAATGTGAAGAGACTTGGGCTTATGAATCAGGTTTAACTTTGCAGGTGATAGGCATGAAGAAGATGCAGGCATGCAAGGCCTTGTAGACTGAGAAACTAGTGGGCGAGAAGTAGAGGTAGGAATAGGTAAGGAGGTGGGGGTTTCAGAGGGTAAAACCACAAAAGAATTAGCGAAGGGGGTGACCCCGGAGCTGGAGGAGCTGGTAGGCAGAGGGACCGCCAAGGTTGGAGGTCTTCAAACTTCTCGACAATAAGGGACATGAGGAAGATTTCCCTGAAGGCAGGGTCGAGAGACATCCATAGCATAAGTAAGGCTTTCACTCTCCTTAAGACAATGGATTTCTTGTACATTAAGATACACCTCACATCGGCAGGAAAAAGATGGATGAGGCTCATTGCAATTGAGACAAGTAGGGGAAAGACTGCAAGATATATCAGCACGATCTGCAGCACCACAGACCAGGCACTCCGCTGCAGATCTACAGTATTTCGACACTGTTGGAGAGTAGGGACTACTTTATCAATCAATCAATCAATCAAGTTTATTCTCTATAAGGATTACAATGCGGGGTTTACAGATTTTGAATATTGTGTGGTTTACATGTTTTAAAATACTAATTACAGAGGGGGCCACTAGGACACCTAGCATGGCTAAGCATTTCAAGCAGACTTAGATTAATTCTAAACTTTAAATTATTACAGATTATGGTATTAAGGCTAAGTGACTACATTATAGTTTGTGAGTTTAGCAATGTGAAAGCTTTTGTTTTGGCACAATACATAGTGTCTATATTGGAGTATCATAGGCAAACTTATGACTAGTTAGGCTCTGGTGGCTAACGCTCTCGCTTCACACGGCGAGGGCCTGGGTTCGATTCCCAGCCAGAGTAGAAACATTGGGCGTGTTTCTTTCCACCTGTTGTCTATGTTCCCCATCAGTAAAATGGGTACCTGGGTGTTAGTCAGCTGGTGTGGGTCGCATCCTGGGACACTGACCTAATTTGCCCGACATGCTGAGCATAACAAGGGGCTTTTTATATAGTAGTATGTCATTGTTGTCAGCTAGGCCTGTATACCTTGTACATGTACTTCTAGTAAATAAAGATATTATATTATTATATTATATTATATTATTTTAAGATTAAGATTCGTATTTCTGTGTTTATACAGTAGTCAATGGGTGAGTGAGTGTAAGTGTGAACCACCAGGTGGTTTACATGTAGTAAGTTGACGGGGTGTATCAGGGAGATATCTGTTTTCTAACTGTAATTTTGAAAGTGATGAATGTGTCTGCAGTTCTAGAGTTTTCAAGTAGGGTGTTCCAGATTTTAGGCCATTTGACACACATTAAATTTTTGTAAAGGTTTAGTCGGACACGGGGAATGTCATAGAGATGTTTGTGTCTGGTGTTATGCCTGTGGGTCCTGTCACAACTATCAAGAAAGCATTTTAGGTCAAGGTTAATATTGGAATTCAAGCTGGTCCTAGTGGCATTAAGAAACAGAGAAGAGAAGTAACCCCAGAGAAGGACTTGGTACCTGAGGTGTTGATGGAAGGGGATTCCCCTTCCAAACAGCAACTAATCCAATGTCTCTCCTCCAGTCTTCCATACACTAAGAAGAATCACCAATAAAGGTAAGTGTTATGCTGTTAATGTTTCATTCATCTTGTCCCATTGTACTGTTTATGTACTACATCTATATTTCGTGTAAAAAAAATTTTTGTTTTAATACTTCTGGGTGTCAGGAACGGATTAATTGCATTTACATTATTTCTTATGGGGAAAATTGATTTGAAAATTGTCTTTTTCGATAATTGTCGCACTTCTAGGAACGGATTAACAACGATAAATGAGGGACCACTGTATATGCTAAACTTAAAAGGGGTATTACAGTGCCTGGGAATGGGAGGTAATCAGGCTTCAAGAATGAGAAGATTATTTGAATTCTTTAGAGCAAGAGCTCTGTACCAGTATCAAGGCATCCCCTGTGAAGGTTCACCTTATAAAAATACTACCCTTTCCTCTTCTTTCAACAAACCAGCCACATCCCACAGAGGCAGAGTGGCCCAAAGCGAATATCAAAAGTTTCTATTTTTAAATTTAGTAATTAAGTTGTCTCTTACAGTAGGCATGACTTACAGAGGAAGAATTCAGTTCCACTTCCCCATGGAGAAAATACTACCCATGACCATTATAATCAGGGAGAATCACTAAATCTGCAGGGGTCATACAGTGCATGAGGAATGGGAGGCACTCAGGTTTGATCCAAGGATAGGGAAGTTATATCCACTTTCTTGGATCAAGATCCCCTCACTAGCATCAAAGTACCACCCTAGAGAGGTACTATTCATGAGATATGTAAATAAAGTGGAGTTTAAAACAAAATAAAATCAGCATATTTTTATTTGACAAGATGTAACACTGAAAATGAAACATTTTTAAACTTAGTGTTTTCTGAACACACTTAACAGCTCAGTTTCTAGTGGACAAAATGCTTGATATAAATGACATTGTAAGAGCAAATGACAACAAGAACAAGCAGATCAATTTGTTGGGAGGGGTGACACTTTACTAAACACACACCTCATAATTAATATCTAAGTATAGTCCATGGATATCATAAATGAAAAGCAAACAACATTCACTTACGTGCATTTGACTTAATTCTAAGTGTAACATACACCTGCCTGTAACCAAGAGCACTTATGAAGGCAACAAAACTATATAATCATGCATATTATAGTGTACTAACAACACCCACAACACAAGAGTACTGAACAAAGCAAACAAAGTACTGATGGTCAGGTTGAAGTGGGTTGAGCTTCCTCTCATCATACTCATCCATCTGTTTAAGAGAACTGCGACACTATACAAGTAACTACTTGTCTTAGTAACATCGTATATTCACCTATATAGAAGCTTAGTTCACTCTGACTGACAGAACTCGCATAACATTATCACCGGGGTGTGCTCATCCTAGCCCAGAGCTCACACTCTAGGCACTTACAATACTTCTAAAAATACACTACTAATATTTAAATTGCACAATATAAATAAAAAAGAAAAAGAAAGCATCCCAGCAACACAATGTAGTTTTAAGAAATCAGAGAATATGATAAAAAGTAAATAAATCCATTTTTATTCTGGCATACATCAACTACAGTTCCTAAAAGGTGAAACGTTGTTACTTATTACAGTCTCCAACCCTCAGAAGACCTTGTAAAATTCAGCTATTATTTTTTCCTTTATGTAATCCATATAATGTACTCTACGAGCTGGTACACATTTATCTTACAATCAAATGTAATTATATGAAAAAATCACTGTCACTTCTAGTTGCTTTCTCCTGCTTCACACTGGAATATTACTTCATGTTTAATAAAATCTTCTGTTCTGAATTAAAGTATTTTCGCTAACTGACATAACAATTCCTGGCTTACAATGATCAACATGCTCTAGGGAACCTGGATGCCATGAGTGGTAATTTTCTCTCAATGTAGTATTACAGAGACCATGCTTCTACTAGGAAGTAAACTTTAAAAGCTTTCAAGAAAACCTAGGATGATGATAATCTAGGATAACCCAAGAAATAAGCAGTGTGGCTTATTTTCAGTGGGGTACTTAGAACCTCTTCTTTAGGATGTGACCCACAGGTCAACTTCTCAGTATTTGTTTACTGTTAGTTGAATAGGGGGCAGCAATTGGAAGGAGACTTGCTCATATGTCTCACCTTACCCTGAAGATAAGTGCCCTTACTGAAAAGTGTTCCAGTCAAGAGACAGTACACTAAACTAAAAGTTTTTTACAACTGAAGATGGTCTTTTCTCCAAAACTCTTAGTCAACAAAAATTACATTGGGTAATACATTTATGTTCTTGTTAGTGTAAATACAGTAGAGTAAAACCTCTCATTAATGGACTAATAAGAGAAGGGGGTGTACAAGAATCCTGAGTGTCCACAACTCCCAAATTATGAAATTAATAATTCAAAATTACTTAGATGTCCGCTGATGCAGAGGATAACTGAACACTAAAAATATGGGAACTGTAACCTGTAGTACTACAATACAGTATACTGTGCTGTATAGTAATTTCATCGTACTCTATGTAATTTATAGTAATTTTACTTACATTTTTTGTGGTGGAGAGATGGCTAAGATGATGTAAAGAGCTGATGAGACATAGATGGCTGAGATGCCAGATTAAATCTTCTTTATTAATTCAAGTGTCTCCCTAACACTGAGAACCATGTTTTCTCTAGGCACCACCACTTGTTAATTACACTTTACTTAATATGTCAATAAAGTCACACAAAATGCTCTAAATCCAGGGAAAATTAGAGACTTATGAGTATATGAGTAAGTGAACACAAGCAAGCAATAAAGTGGTCCTGAACATGGCTGCTTTGGCCCATACTGGACAAGTACTGGAGAAAGCAGACTTGGCCTGATACTCCAGAAGACAACAAGACATTAACACTACAGACAAAATGTGGAATATGGGCTTTTGTCCATTCTGTCCAGCCAAATTTTGGTTGAAATTCATCAATGACAGGTTTATTAATGAGAGGTTCTACTGTATATGAAAGAAATACAATTGAATAAACAGCTTATACTGCCACAGGCTGTCTCTAGGATAAGTAATCATTTACAGAGTTACCTATAGATGGTAAAAATAATGTTTTCCTAGTTGATGTGTTTAATATTAAAAACAAAAGCTTACCAAATATCTAATATTCATATAAATACTCTGTATTTATATGAATAAAAACATATGTACTCCACACATGAATGCATGCATACAGGTAATCAAGCATATGCAAGCATGCAGGACAGAGAGGTATGGGTGGACTGTATATTTCTGGATTGCAAGAAGGCTTTCAATACAATGCCCCCACAAGAGACTGGCAAAAATAAGAGAAAATATAGAAGCAGACACAAATTACAGGGAAAGCACTATAATGGATCAAAGAATACTTAATGGGAAGGAAGCAATGAGGTACTGTCAAGAAAGAGGTGTCAGAATGGACAAGTATGATAAGCGAGGTTCCATAAGTGTCAGTACTTGATCCAGTACTGTTTCTTGTAAATGTAAATGACATGACAGATAAAATTGATTCAGAGGTGTTCTTGTTCACAGATGATGTGAAACTAATGAGAATACACACAGGAGTACACAAGGAAAGTCTACAAATGGATCCAGACATGCTGCAGGATTGGTCTGACAAGTGGCTATTGGAATTTAGCCTTAGCAAATGCAAAGTTATGAAAACTGGAGAAGGGCAAAAACATCCGGAAACAGTGTACAGGCTTGGGAAACAAAGGCTGCAACTTCCCTTGAAGAGGACCTCAGCATGAGCAGTGCCAAGCATTTTGCTTGAGGCACACATCAACCCAATAACCACATTGACAAATGCAAGACTGGCAAATTTAAGGGTTGGTTTCAGGAATATGAAGGAGGCATTCACAACCTTATACAGGGTGTATGTCAGGTCCATTTTGGAGTATACAGTGCCAGTATGGAATGCACATCTGGTTATGCATGTAAAGAAACTAAGTCCCAGAGCTGAGGGGTATGAACTATGAGATATAAAAGGCTAGAGAAGCTAAGCCTGATGGCAGTAGAGGACAGAAGGACCAAAGGTGATGTGATTATGATGCACAAAATAAGAGGAAGTGACAGAGTGGACTGGGAGAGTCTGAGGTACACAAGGTCACAGCTAAAGTTAAAAGCACAAATGAGCTGTAAGGATGTTAGAAAACACTTTTTTCAAACTTAGAGTGGATAGGAAGTGAAATGACCTAGACAGCAAAGTGGTAGATGCAGAATCAAAATATATTTTTAAGATTAAGTATGACAGGGCTCACACAGCCCAGAGAAAGTGAAACCAGTAGCAGCCAGCAGAGTCAGGACCAGGAGCTGAGTCATGACCACTGCAACTAAAATTAGATAAGTACACACACACACACATATACACTTATCATGTATGCAGTACAGTACTGTACTTCAAAATAAGTTGGTCTCCAAATTTTATATATAAACACTGCAACACCAGATAATGGGAAACATGTACACAAATAGCTGCAAGAAGTCTATGCATGATAAACATGAGAATGACTACCCTTACAGTATGACTTGTACTTGGATGAAGAACTTTAATATGGATAAGCACCAAGTAATAAAAATGGCGAAAGTGAAAACATGCTTCATGCATAATACAAATTGTGATAAAATTATAAAAGTATCAGAGAGAAGATTGACCTAGCAGTCATCACTGACAAAAACAAATAGGTCACCAGATAATCACATAAATAGTGAGACATTCCTATGTAAAACTGGCTAACTATAAAATATTTAGATATATGGTCACGGAAATGCTGAAAAACAGGTGTTCATAACATACATTATGCTGAAATTGATATATCTTGCAGTAGTGGTATGGTGTCTGCACCTACAAGAAAAAAAGGGCTAAAAAATGTCTGAGGATGAACTATGAAATGGCTTCAAGAGCTAAAAACAATTTGAGTTCTGAAGAAAGGCTGAGAGTATTAGACATACATGTACTATGTTGAGCATGAACAGAGGAGACATAATAACCAAATTCAAGATTAAAAAGAAATACAAGGAAGATGGTTTAATGCTGTCAGCTAGAACAAAACTAGGTCATGACTGTAACAAGAAAAGCTGCCATAGTATATAAGAAAATATTTCTTCACAGAGTGGTGGAGTACTGGAATGGTTAACAAGAGCAGGTGTAAATGCTGCAACCACTAGAAATTTTCCAAAAAAAAAAAACTGATGGTATCTTAAATGCAAAAGACAGGACATCACAAGCTTAAATATGTTCCTGTAGATATATACAGGTCCATAAGACAGCAAATGACAGACTTAGCTATGTTTCTGTAGTGACAGGTCCAGAAGACAGCACATGACAAGCTTAGCTATGTTCCTGTAGATACAGATCCAGAAGACAGGATACAAATACATATTCACATAACCAAGAAACTTTCCATCATTTTTTGAGCATCAGTCAGTCAGGGATATATGGAACAGTACTTGGCTCACTTATTAATATTATTTATTCATAAGGTCAGCTGTCCACTGGGGACATAAAGCCACATAAAACTTAAGTCATACAAAATGTCATACAAAACATGTTATATAAAACACATCATACAAAATAACACATACAAAACACATCATACAAAGCACATATTGTGCAAAACATGTTGTACAAAACACGTCATACAAAACATGTCATACATGAAAGATGTCATATAAGTGAAAGCATTCTTTCTTTTTTTGGGTCACCTTACCTCAGTGGGAGATGGTCAGTGTGTTTAAAAAAACACACTGGTCATGAAATCAAGATATTGTCATGTAAAACAGATACAGGTCACAGAATAAAGAATCAAGGAAAAGCATCAGTCAAAGAAAGTAAAAGTAGTCATACAAAAGCCAAAAAGACAATACAGGCACTCCTCACTTAACGACCGAGTTCTGTTCCTATGACTAGGTCGTTAGGCAAATTGGTTGATAAGTGAGGAGCATCATCATTGGAGTTATCAGCAGGGTTATCAGGAGTTGTAGAGGGCCTGGGTAAGGAAGATGAAGGCAAGGAAATGGAAAGACTTGTAGGGGTCCAGGGTGTAGCTTCCAACTCTATTAAATCTTCATTAGTTAGCTCTCCTTCGACATATTCGACTAATTTTTCAGTATCTTCCACTTCAACATCTAAATTAAGCATGTTAGCAAGTTCCACAATTTTTTTATTTATGAAACAGACATGTTTGTCTTTGTCAAATCCTTCAAAATTATTCACGAAACATTTTAGGCATTTTTTCCACACGCCTTGCATACACTCTGACTGGTTGGAAAGCTGGTCGTAAGTCCTGGCGGTCATTAAACAGGTAGGTTGTTAAGCGAGGAGTGTCTGTATAGGACAAAGCCTAGAAGGCATCAGAAATATATGAAGTCAAAAAGAGGAAGGCATGGCCCACAGGGTGCAGTCAACCAGCAGATTCCAAAATTTGAGCCAGGTCCAAACCTGGTAGTAACAATCTACACTAAGTCCATATTACAGGAAAGCCAAGACTTGGAAAAATCCCATAAGGCATAGTTCACATAACAGAATATAAAATTAAGTCCAGATCAAACCCTAAAATGCAGCAAACATATGTAGAGGCAACAGAGCAGGGTGTAGCCTACAAAGTGCAGGCAGCAACACAAATCCAAAACTCAAGCCACGTCAAAACCTAAATAAGTCATAAAAATACACAATAAAACAAAGAGGGAGACAACTTTGGAGTCTCAAGACATAGTCCATATAACATAATAAAAAACTATGTCAAAAGTCAAAACCTACAAAGTAGCAACAAACAGAATCTAAAATTTAAGCTGGGCCAATGCCATAAATTAAGAAAAAGCATCAGGGCAAAGTGACATGGCCTTTGGCCACAGTACTGGGCAGCAAGAGGGAAGGGAGACAATGAAACTATCCAGGGAAAGTGAGAACAGCTCCAATTCCTTTGTTCAAGATACCCCTCACCATCACTTGTGCTTGCCTCATAATCTACAAGCTTAGTCTATTTCCCATTGGACTGCCAGGTGTTGTTATAAATTACAGAACAAACAAGCATAAAATGCTGCACCTCACATAACTCAGATTGAAACAAATGAGAGAAGGAGTAATGAGAGCCCTGGCTAGAGTGCAGACAGCAGGTGACTGACAACATTAAAGACTTATCCATCATTATAAGCTCATTACTATAGCTGGTCCAGTAGTTAGCATACACAGTAGCCCACAATCTTCTGGTTCAATTCTCTGGTATATTACAAAGAGTTTCAGTCTGAGAGTGAAATAAACATTACTGTACAGGAATTCCCTGCAAATGACAACTTGTCATGTATATAGGTACTTGGTTGTAGAGGCATAAAGCCAACACAACAAGCTTTCAGTAGGACTACACTACAATCAGGACTGACTTTATAGTCATGCAGTAGATACTTTTTATATACATACATACTCATAGAGAGTGAGGCAGGTACAAGAAATTATTATATGTCAGGTGCTTATAATGCTGGTAACTGAGCATTACAATCTCCCTACTGGTTGCCGTCACTTTATATGGATTCACTATTATGTGATGTTCAATTTCTATCAGCAAATCCGTATACTGTATATGATTCACAGTCACCATATACAAACAACACAGTTTGTAAAGTGCACTGAAGATTATTATAATGCATAATTAAGTGTTCATGACATGACTGAGTTTAGTACAGATGACAAGGACCTGAATCACATCTCCAGCATGAAACAAGGGACACCTATATACAGGGTGACCAAAAAGTCTGGACATATAGGACATAATATTCTGTTTTTTTCCCCAGTTACTGGAGTTACTGCCTTGTGATCATGTGATCTTGTAAAGTGTGTTTAACTTTACATCGCTAATGGTGGACAACATGTTGAAGATATTATTTATTAAAATTACTATATAACTATTACAAAAATGCAATTTTGCCTGTGTCTAGACTTTTGGGTCACCCTGTATATTTGAAAGAGATGGAACTAGAAATTCAACTACATATTGATAACCTGCACCCAAGTTGCCATGACAGTACGTGTTTTGGCAGTGTGACCCAGCCTGGATGATGCAAAGCAGATGGGACTCAGTGCTCCTCAGATAAACACACAAATCAGTGCACCAGTGAGATCCCTTGGATCATTCCTGCCTTCTCTTCATTCTTCACACTATTCTTATTAACAATATAAAACTGTAGTTTACTATAAATACTTAAGTGTTAGTGATGGCATTTAATAAAAGATGCAATACAACCAGAGTAAATATTATTCCTTACCAAAAAAGCATATAAATATTGGAATAATACAGAGTATATGATTCAACCCATTACAGTACCATAATACAAAATCATATGCCAATTTCTCAATTAAAGAAGTATCTTTTTATATTTGAAAAACTTCTGTTGCAACAGAAACATACAAACTCAATATGCCTCTTGCACCAGTCTAAAACTGTCAGAGCTTCCTCTCCAAACAGTGAGTTAAGAGTGAACTCACTCACTCACACTCACTCTTTCACACTCACGCTCGCCCACACACTCATGCACACAAGCATGCATATACACATGCACACACATACACTCTCTCTCTCTCTTTCAATAATCATGACAAAGAGATACAGACAACTCCACAGATAGTGAATTATAGAAGAAAACATTCTCAGTATATGTATTTTCACTTAGAAAGACCATGGGTAAAAATTATAGTGACGGCACTTTACAATGAATTAATGATTTCTATGTGACGTGAAATATAAAGCAAGAAGCTTTAGTTTCAGCATCCATTATGGAAAGTACTACTGTCATGTCATTAAGTGTGAGACAGAAGCTTCTTTCATTTATATTTTGCACTTGGGCAGGATTGCTGGTCTGCATTCTGCCTTATCAACACATTAGATACTTAATCAATCTTATGACATTCTAGTTATATTCTGCATACAGGCATACCTCACTATTACATCGAGTTAGGTTCCAGACCGCTGCCATAAAGTGAACATCGCCTTGAAGCGAATCACACTTGCCAGTGCATATAAAAGCCTTAAAGCATGTTTACATTCTCATTTATTAAATGCACAATAACACTATGCCTAAAAAAAAAGCAAAATTAAAAATAACAAAAAAAAAAAAAATGAAAACTGCCAAAACCCGTCTTAAAAGCAAGGCAAGCAATGAAAACAATAAACATTAATATAACTGAAAAGTGCTGTATTAGCAAAATTTTCGTGAGGACCATATTAACGAGGTATGCCTGTATATTTATCATTATTTTTCAGTGAATTTCCTACTAGCTTCTGGTCCTGTATCATTTTCTTTCCAACATAGGAGATGTGGTCTGAGACCAGGCTGAGAGTGAACCTCAGAACCCTTCACACATAATACACACATAGTCAATATAACATTATACGTATTTAGTTTTCAAAACAAAATACTATAAGGAATGAATGTTTACGATCAACTCTCATTTCTAGTAATTATTATGAGTAACATATCTTGTCATTTACAGTTTTTACAAAAGTTATTGCTCATACTTAAAAAAATTATACACTGAACCTAACAAATATGTTTGCACATCTAAAAAATAATAATAAAAAGTCCATTAAATGTAAAAATTCAAGATATTAAAGCTCAAGCATTATTCACTCCTAATCAGTACTTAGTATAGCACTGTATACCATATACACTGCTTGTGAAATATAATGCTCAGTTCTAATACTTAATAAATTACAAAAAAAAAAAATTACTACATAAGATTAATACACGTTAGGAAAGTGTATTGGCATAATAATGACCTCATTCCAAATGCAGAGCAGCACAATCAACTTGTGCTGAAAGATTTCTAAAAAATTGCCATTTAGAAGACAGCTGCAGACATGGGTAAATGAAAGCTTAATAATTTGATAACACATTAAAAACTGGTAGTAAACTATATACATAAGTAATTAAGACATATAGTGTACTTGTAAAATTCATTTTAAAATAATCATTTTTTTAAATTATTTACTGTACTCTGAAATGAAATTTGGATATATATTACACAATAATGTTAATCACATTTAAATATTTAATGCTATCTACTCTTACAGTCTGTATTGAACAAATATTTTTATACTACATTATTCTAAGGTGTTACATATTGGTAACAAGTTATCTTATAAGGTAAAATGTGTCACAGGTAACACGTTGGTTCATAGTGCCACCATCTTTCAGCTTTATATTTTAACCATAAAATGTAATACTTTTCTTTGTTGCTATAAAAAATATACTTGTGCTCTGTATAACAAAATAGATCAAATTTAAGTTAGCTGATCCTTCTTTTATTTTCATTAATTATACTCATTAATATAACCCCACTGTACTTACGTATTTTAGTAGCAGGGGTTGAGTCCTAGCTTCTGGTCCCTCCTCTTAACAAGGTTCATTTTCCCATGGCCTCATGGGACCTATATGGCTGATTTTTAAAGCTACATATGAAGCTTGTATTTACAGTACTTACTATGGAGTGATTAATAACCTTTCATAAAAAATATTTAAGAGTACAGTAATCATTTTTATACTTCAAAACAAACACTTTTGTAATGCACTCTATACAGAACAAATTAATAAAAACAAGAAAGGTAATAATTTCTTGAAAATGCTATTAAAAAACTGCAGTTGTATAAACACTATATACTGCTTTTCAAAAAATATGTTATGAAAGTGCATAACTCAGTAATGCTAAAAGTTTCTCTACATGAAATAATATTACAAATCACAAAAAGTGTTATGAATGTGAAAGTAATCAAGCAAAAAAAGCATATTATACATCATGTACAATTGCTACATTCTATTATCCAAAAACCAAAATTTCATGTACTTGAACTGTGGCAGTTCACAGTGCTCTGAAAAAACTGGGAAACTATAAATTGTTGAAAGAAACTCTAAATGATCTGCAAAAAAAAAAAAAAAAATCAACGTAACAATGATCAAAACTCTTCAACCTTCTACCAGCAGTAGATGTGAGAAACATTACTAGAACAAAGGTATACCAGCAGCAGCTGTGAGAAACATTACTAGAACAAAGGTATACCAGCAGCAGCTGTGAGAAACATTACTAGAACAAAGGTATACCAGCAGCAGCTGTGAGAAACATTACTAGAACAAAGGTATACCAGCAGCAGCTGTGAGAAACATTACTAGAACAAAGGTATACCAGCAGTAGATGTGAAAAACATTGCTAGAACATGGGTGTACCAGCAACATGCATAAAAAACATTGCTAGAACAAAGGTATATCAGCAGCATATATGAGAAACATTGCTGGAACAAAGGTAATTGTAGAAAGTACTATAGAAGTTTTGAAGAGGAAAGTAAATCAGTCCTTGCAGAAAGTGGCTATATAGGCAGCATTTGCTGGCAGCAACAGTCTGATTGGTTAGGCAGTTAACAATAAAGTCTGACCTGAGGGCCAGGCCTTGAAAACACAACTCTCAAGAAAATAGTTCCACATTAGTAACTTTGCTTTACAAAATAACATATATCAGAAGTTACTTTTCAACACTGTATACAAAGCTAATAGTATTTTGAAGTTTATAAGCCTCATAAGTGTCCACTACATAACATACAAGTTAGTACATTATTATATATACAGTATACAGACAAGATTTAATAGCTCAACCTGTTATGGAAACAAAAGTTCTCCTAATTCACATAAGCATCCTTGCTGCATACTTCTATATAAACACTAACATTGGTTTTACACATAAAAGAAAATCTCATGACAACACATCCAACACTAAAACGTGATGGCTTGATGCAACAACACTTGTATTAAACACTTTATCAGTTCAACAGCCAAGCAACAGACAACTTTCTACTAATTAAAAGAACACATTGTAAATGACCAAGTACATTCTCCTAGATTCCTTTTGGCACACTACACATGTTGATAGGACCAATAAAAAAAAAATTATTCTAAATATCACCTCTGCTTTTTAATCTTAATTATATGCAAAAATTCAGTTATACACTACTCTAAATTCTACATCAGTTTGTGAATTGTAAATAATTACTAATTTATAATAACTAATTATAATTATAATTTATAATACAGCATTATATGTAATTTATAATACAGCATTATATTAAATTTGTTTTTATAGTTACTGCATTTACAAGTGCACATACCAAACCAAACTAACTAAGCATTAGATGATGCATATATTGGTCAATCAGACTCATTGCTAATTTATTAATCACAGTAATATGTTTAATGAGTTCTAAAAAATTACTTCATGGGCACATTTTAAAGCCTTTGCTTCCAATTTCATTATTTTGCTCTAAGTCTTTTCACTACATACTTCATCATTTATCACATTACACCATAATGAGCAATATAAAATCATGATTCATTATGATTAAATAATCTAGGGATTTTAGATTTCTTTGGGGTTGATGTTGTTATATTATCATCAGACAAATCAGATGCAGAAGAGGAAGAGGAGAGCATATCTTCCTCAGCAGAATCAGGAAGTTCTTGAGGAACTTTATTAGGCACTTTCACATTCAGCAAATTTTTAAGGTGAGGATCACTAACTTCCACTGGAGCTTCTGTATTATTATCCAATGAAGTTTGAGGCTGTGAGGGAACAGGAGGGGAACTACAAGTCTGAGGATGTGTAGGCACACCAGGTGATGCATTGGCAGGGATCAATGGGGGTTCCTTGTGGACAGCAGTTGGCATTTTAACTATTTCTTCCAAGCACCCTGCTTCAGCTTCTACTCCTTCAGATTCTGTATCAGAACTTTCTGAATTTGATTTATGCCTTGACAGAATGTTTATGGGGTCTGGTGACCGAGAATAACCATCATTAGAACTTGTGACAGAAGCTAACACATCTGAATGCAAGTCCTCTAGGTCTACAGTGCTTGGCAGTGTGTCCTTAAGAGATGGTGCACAATGACTTGATGAATCAGGTTTATCTTGTGATGAATCAAGATTAGTTTGTTTGCTCTCCTTGTTGTTGTCATTATTACCCACAGATTTTGACAAATAATCATCTGAATCAGAATGCTCAGAGTCATCAAGATCTGAATCACAAAATGCTTCTACATCAGAAATACGAGAATATTTTGTTACCTCAGGCTCCAAAGCACAACTAACTTCATCTGCCAGAACAGCCGAGGTAGAGGGAGCAAATCGGCCTGAAGAAAGTGTATATTCAGTAACTTCTGGCTCACTACTGTCAGTTTCAGTAGTCTCTGAATCAGTATCAACACTGCCCTCCTCTTTAATGATTCCCAAAGAGTTACCGTCTTCTTCAGTGGAATCATACTGCTCATCAGTGTTTGAAATATATGCTTCCAGAGGAATATCAGAAGCCTCTAAAGGTACATGTGTTGAAGCCTTGGAAGGAACATTTGCTGAAGCCATAGAAGTATCTGCTGAAGCCTTCAAAGGAATATCTGCTAAAATTTCATCTGGAATGCCAGAAGCATGCAAAGGAGCCTCAGTCTTAGATTGTGAAGGTTCTTTTAATGCTGGCTTATCTAGAACAGTAGAAGCCTCTGTAGAATTTTCAAATGGAGATTCCAAGGGAACATTAACAACAAAGAGTGGTTTGCAACTGTCAACAAGTGGTTGCCTTTTCCTGTCATCTACTGATGACTCTATGACAGCTTCTGGGCTTTCCTCTGTTGTTCCACTCTCGGGTACATTGCTTTCACTTGCTTCGGTGTATGGTGGCACAGCCTCTTCAGATGACACGCTGGACTCGGAGGGATTTCTTAATATTTCTTCAGGTTGGCTGGGTTCTAAATATACCGGAGGAGAGCAATCTGTTTTGTCTCCAGGTACTGTCTCATTCATCTTTGGACCATGTGCAGATTTGGTTTTAGGAGTATTCTCATTATCATCTAATGGCTGCAGTGAAATTATAGGAATCACTTTTGGTTGTAAAGGAAGTTCTTTTGCAGAACTGTCTGGAGAAAGTGAGCATAACTCATGTTTTGAATTATTATTTCCACTTGATATTTCTTCAGGTTTATCCAGTTTATCCTTATTTATTGGCACCAAATCATGGGCATCTTGAATAGGATGAAGCTGTTCAATATCTTCTTTCATTAGCAAAGGAGAAATTTGGTTAACTGATAATTCAGAAGTGACTGGTTCTTCTGCTTTACCCACATGTGCAACATCTTCCTTCCATCCATAATTAAATGGTGGTTGAGGTGCTATACAAATCTTTGGCTCAGCAGACTGAGGTGCAGGCACAGGCTGAATAGATTTAAGGTTGGCTGTGGATGATGGATTTTCAAGTTGACTCTTTGGATGTACTGTTTCAGACAAGAGTGTAGTTGCTGCTACATTGGGAGGCACACATGCAGGAGCATTCTGAATCTGGTCTTCTTTTAGTGGAAGAGCACTGACCTCAGGTTCTTCATTTTGAGGAGAATTTTCTAGTTTTTCATCAGGTACAAATGAAGTGGGTTTAGGAGTACATTCTTGATCAAGGCTATCATCATCTGGGAAACATTCCTGCAACAATAAACCATCCTCCTCATCACTCAGTGCTAAAGGCTTTTTAGTACTGGTGGGTGGCACAGGAATATACACAGGAGTTGGTGCATTCTTGGCAGGGGATACCTTGATCTCTGGCAGGGGCTGTGGAATAGGCCGAATATTTTGTGGGCATTGATCAGGTGAAGGTTCATGTAGAACAGGAGTAACAAAACCTAATGGAGCAACATGATTCATAGAAGGAACATTTTCTCTCTTGTGCATAAGTTTAGCTGGCGGAGTTTCATCCTCGACTGGAACAAGAACATTGTCATTTGGTTTGGGGGTCCCACTTGATTTGTTAGCATCATCAGAAAGATCAGAGACTGGTGGTTTAACTTTATCATTGCTACTATCAGGCTCATCTAAAGAAGCTTTGTCCTTGGTGTCCACATCATCCTCCACTGGGGCAGAAGCTTCCAAAGGTGCATCTTCAACATTACCATTGAAATCGGGATCAGGGCTGATCAAGGGTCCTTGTTCAGGATCAGTTGGGGGTTTGGATCGCAGTGGCCGAGCTCGAAGGCAAATGTAGGCATAGTAGATCCCTACTCCCAGCCCAATAAATGCCAGAAGTAATGCTAGCAGTCCTGCTGCAGTTAAGCCACCACCTGTAAACAAAAACAAAGCCTTAATTATATTTTGAAATAAAATAAAGGACATGTAAAGTAAAATGTAAAAAAAAAAAAAAAGAACAAAAAGGCACAATACCATACCTGGAGCAATACACAAATAACCCGCACACAGTGTGACTTTGTAAATCGTCCAAGTTGGATCAAAATGTTGTATTAAGCTCCTCTCTCTTATGTGTGGGTTATCTGTGTATTAAAAAAAAAATTTACGTACATACAACTGAACACATATCCAATATGTATAACGTATGATACTGTATATAAATAGCAGTACTCGTAGGGATAAGAGCAACAAAAATGCATTTATATAAATTTCTGGAAGCATAACAATATATATATTATTTATACAGTACAGTAGGGCCCCACTTATACAGCAGGTTAGGTTCCAGGCTACTGCCGGAAACCTGACATCGCCAGAAAGCAGAACGCCATTTTTTTCCACTTATAAAGACACATAAATGCCAGGTAACAAGTTTACACTAACATATATTAAGTTAGCAATAGAATTAGGCATTAAAAACAATAAAAAGTAAAATACACACACAGTACACCCATTACTTACCTTAAAATATTTGTAGTCTTAATGTAGGGTGAGAGGCGAGTTTTATTTGTAGGAAGTCAGGTTTGGGAAGTATGGTAGCCAGCCAGGTCAGCCCACCCTACCCCAACTATACGTAATATACTACAACATTTAATTAAAGTGCCCCAGAGTGATAAAATACATATACAGTACATTTATTAATTACCGTAAAATATCTGTAGTCTTAATGTAGGGTGAGAGGTGAGTTTTATTTGTAGCAAGTCAGGTTTGGGAAGTATGGCAGCCAACCAAGGTAGCCCTCCCTGCCCCACCCCTCCCACACATAATGTAAACAAACCATGCAAACACATCAGGTTTTTGTTCATATATGTTTGTATTATACCACGATACATTACTTTAAATTGTGTAAAAGTTGTCTCCATGTTGACACAGTAGAATAAATAAAGAGAAACACTTCCATTCTTATGTAACACCATTTTTAGAAGGAATGACGCTCTGAGTGAAGGCATACATAGGAATAATTTTCTAGTTACCCCCAGTAATATAATAGTGTACACATTTTCTCTGATGTTGGACTACAAGTCACCTGGCTACCACAAGTCCTACAAGTCCTACATGTTGTCTAGCTACCACATCTCATATTTATGTTAATTTATTCTACTGTGAGGTGTATTTATCATGTTTATGTGTTACACAGCATGTTTATTATATAATTTTGAAAAAAATATCATAGATTAATGGAAATGCCTATATTAACGTAATATATGACATTTAATGCACCCAAGAGGTTACATATTATTATTAATATGGCATCAAGAGTAGAAAGACTCTTAGTGATTTTAATGTGTACCTGCATGCCAGCACAGTGTGTAAGTATATTTAGGTACAGGTACACATAAGTAAGATTATTATTATAATCAAAAAGAAGCGCTAAGCCACAAGGGCTATACAGCGCTGCAGGGTAGGGAAGGAAGCGAAGGTATTGGGCGGCAGGAGGGGGGAGGGGCGATCAGTAGGTTACAGAAAACAGCGGGGCAGGGGATAGTGCAGGGGTAGAGGGTAGCAGGAGATTGAGGTAGAAAGGGTTGAAGGTATCATCAGAGTTTGTGAAGTAAGTCAGTTGTTGTCAAAAAGTCAATGAGAGAGTCTGGATGAAAGGTGGGTCCATCAGCAAGAAGGGAAGGTAAAGAGAGAGCAGCGGAGCGGAAGACGACGTTGGAGGTAAATTCTGCGTGCTCGTTGATAAAGTGGGCAGTCTAACAGAATGTGGCTGACCGATAATGGAACCTGACAATTCTCAGAGAGGAGCAGGGTGCCTCTCCATGAGATATCTATGAGTAAGACAAGTATGGCCAATGCGAAGACGGGAGAGAGTAGTCTCCCAACCTCGACACTGGTGACAAGAAGACGGCCAGTAACCTATACTCGGTTTAATAGACTGAAGTTTGTTACCGAGTAGAGTAGACCAACGTTGTTGCCAATGGGTGTGAAGGTGGGTAGCTATTGCAACAAAATAGTCCATAAATGGAACACCTCTATATGAAACTGGTAGGTCATGTATTGCTGACCGTGCAGCATTGTCTGCCTGTTCATTGCCCTGTATGTCAACATGACCAGGGACCCAACAAAAAACAATATCTTTAAGCTTGGTAGAGATGCGGCGTAGCCAAAGTTGGATATGGAGGACTAAGGGGTGAGGTGTATCAAATTTCTGTATAGCCTGTAAAGCACTAAGGGAGTCTGAGACAACCACAAAAGATGACACAGGCATAGATGCAATACAGATAAGTGCTGCAAGAATGGCATACAATTCAGCAATAAAGATACTAGCCGAAGATAGTAAATGCCCTCATATGACACTGTCCGGAAACAATGCTGCGAATCCTACGCCGTCAGACGACTTAGAGCCATCTGTGTACACTGCAATGGCATGAGAATGAAAGTGGAATTGGTCAAGAAAAAGAGAGTGGGAAGCTACCGTAGACAGTTGGGCTTTCGAGCAAGGGAGTGAGAAAGAACAGACTCGAACAGCTGGAACTTCCCAAGGGGGTAGGGAAAAGTGAGATGCGACATGAACATAGAAAGGTGGAAATTGAAGAGAAGACAAGAGCGAATGTAGGCGAAGAGAGAAGGGACGGAGCAAACAGGGGCAGCAAACAAATAAAGAATGTCTACTAACATCAGTGACCATTCTATAAATGGAAGGATTGGGGAGATCATGAGAGCGTACATAGTAGCAAAGGCAATGGGCATCATGGCGATCGGATAAGGATGGAACGTTCGCTTCTGCATAGAGGCTCTCAATAGGGGAAGAGCGAAAAGCACCAAGGCATAAACGTAATCCTTGGTGATGAATGGGGTTGAGGCTAGATAGAGTAGCAGGAGAGGCAGCTGAATAGATCTGGTCGCCATAATCAAGTTTCGATAAAATGAGGGTGGAATGTAGGCGAAGGAGAGTTCGACAATCAGCTCCCCATGAAAGATGAGCAAGGGTTTTAAGAAGGTTCAGCCGGCTGTGACAAGTTGTCTTCAGAGAGGTAATGTGAGGTTTCCAGGATAACCTACGGTCAAAGAGGAGGCCTAGAAACCTGACTATCACGTTCAGGGATACAGATGATCGGAGATGACAGAGCATCTAGTGAAAGTAATTTGGTGAGTTTTGGTACTGGAAAATTTAAACCCATGTGTGGTAGCCAAATTGGAAACACGGTCGACCGCATGCTGGAGAGAAACTGTAATGAGGTGACAGTCAGCGCCTGCACAGGCAATAGCGAAGTCATCAACATAGAGTGATGACCAAATATTGGATGGAAGACTATAGGCCAAATCATTTATAGCAAGGAGAAAAAGTGTTGTGCTCAGAACACATCCCTGGGGGACACCTTCAGCTTGGATAAAGTCCGGGGAGAGCACATTATTAACCCGAACACGGAAATGTCTGTCAGTTAAAAAAGTTCTTAAGGAAGGATGGTAGATTGCCTCAAAGGCCTAAGGAGTGGGCTTGGGCCAAAATATTATACCTCCAAGTTGTGTCATATGCCTTCTCAAGGTCAAAAAATATGGCAATAACTGAGTGGTTATTCGCAAAGGCATTACAAACATACGTATCCAAGCATAGTAAGGGATCTATGGTAGAACAGCCCTTACGAAAGCCATATTGACGAGCGGAGAGACTGTTGTGTGTCTCTAAATACCACACTAAACGTCTATTTACCAGGCGTTCCATCACTTTGCAAACTGCACTGGTAAGAGCAATGGGATGATAGTGGGAGGCTTCATGTTCCATAGTACCTGGTTTATGGAAAGGGAGAACATTGGCAGATTTCCACAGCTGTGGAAGAACTCCTTGTGACCAAATAAGATTGAAAAGGCATAATAGGACTGCAAGGGCTGACTGATGTAAATGTTGTAGCATACAAATATGAATGTCGTCGGGCCCAGCTGCCGATGATCGGCAAGCTGAGAGTGTTGCCTCCAGTTCCTGAAGTGTAAAAGGCACATTATACTGTTCTCTGAGAGAAGAAAAGTCCAAGGGTGCTAACTCTCTGGGAGACTTTGAGGAAAGAAATGAGGGGCATAGATGGAGCCCCTGAGAAATACGGACCAGATGACTGCCAGTTTCATTGGCAACATCTAGTGGGTTTGCTATATCAACACCGGCAACCCGCAGAACAGGAGCCGGGTTAGGAGAATATTTACCACTCAGTTTTCGTACTTTTTTCCAGACTGCACTCATAGAGGAAGCAGAGGTGATGGTGGAGACATAATCTCACCAGCAGGTGCGTTTAGCGTCACGGATGACACAGCGAGCGATTGCATGCTTCTGCTTAAAATCAAGAAGTCTCTCTGTGGTTTTATTGTACCGGTACCTGCCCCACGCAGCGCTTTTCAAACGTACTGCACGAGCACAAGCAGGAGACCACCAAAGCATGCATTTCTGAGAATGCCTGCCCAAAGTTTGGGGTATAGAATAAGAAGCTGCGGTTAAAACGGAGGACGAGAAGAGATGTAAAAGCTCATCAATGGAGGACGAAGAAGGAACCTCACTAAACACAGTTAGTTGCGAGTAAAGGTTCCAATTTGCCTGATCAAATTGCCAGCATGGGTTACAAAGAGGTGGTGAATATGAAGGGAAGTAAGAATGATTGGGAAATGATCGCTGTCATGTAAATCCGGGAGAACAGACCAGGTGAAGTCTAATGCGGTGGAGGAAGAGCAGACTGAGAGATCGATGCAAAAGAGAGTATGAGTCCATCAAAATGGGTGTGAGTACCTGTATTTAAAACATGGAAGGGGTGGGCAGCAAGAAAAGCCTCTAACTGAATGCCACGGGAATCACAGTGAGACCCTTCCCCCAGAGGAAATGATGGGCATTAAAATTGCCAAGTAACAGAAGTGGTGGTGGTAATGACGAAACAAGAAAGGCAATATCCAGGAT